TTTTTTTTTTATTTTTTTTTTTTTTTTTTTTTTTTTTTCATCGAAGCGCTTCGTGATCTTTTTCTTGTTTTTTCATTGGTCAAAAAGCCGCGACAATGTCGCTTAATACAATCATTATCTACTTTCACTTTTTCTCCCATCATACATCGGTGACCGTGTAAAAATATAAAAGTACATAAGCATGCACATGCGTGCATTACGATATAAAGTCGCAAAATTTTCGAAACACTCGAGAGAGCGTCACCTCACTGTAATATAAATCCCGTAATACTTTTTGACATTTATCTCTTGTTATTTATAAAAAGATTAAGACAAACAGAGTCGAGAAAACGTCTCTTTTTAGAAATCCACAAGCATAAAGATATATGTAATTGTGCTTTGCGCTTCGTAATAAGAAAACCACTTGTTATTTTATTATTTTTTAAATGTTAATTTACTTTAAATGATAAATTTAAATGAAAAGTTGACATCGAGAACAAAAATTAAAATGCATTATTAAGTATAATTTTATTAATTATAGATTTTTTATTTTTATTCTTTTTTAATAACCAAATTTGAAGCCTTTAACTACGTAAATATTGAATATAAAAAGAAAAAAAAAAAAATATATATATATATATATATATATATATATATGTACACGATTGAAATACAATGCATGTATGTAAAATTGCATCCATATTTAACCAAAATATTACAAATTTATTTATTTAAACTAATTCACAATGTGCGATATAATGGATCTATATAATAGCAAGAATATACAATGAGCGAGGATTGTTATATCGCTGTTATGAAATAAATATGAGACGCCATTTACTGCAATAGGCTAGAAATATTAATACATCATATATTGATCCTATAACTTGACGTTAAACTCCTGCATATTATTATCGAATACCGTCGGTCTTATTTATATAATTGATCGAATAAATTATTGGATCGATGCTATTAATATATTAAAATAATATATATGTTTGATAAGATTAAAGCAGATATTATTCGTTCAAGCTTGCTACAATCCTATACAAAATATTCACGTTGCACTATACGTAACACTATGTGGCTCGTGAAAAATGTTCTCTCAAACACTTGACATGAATAATCATTATGAAGAAGCCTGCGGAAGCCGAAATTTTGTCCAGACCAACTTTTGACCCAATCTACGTTCGTTCTCACCTCAACGTCAACCTCTTGGAGGACCGTTGGCGCGGATGTCTGTCCATGCCTTGTTCGGCCCCAGCCAGCCACCGTCGCTGTACGTCCTTGCAGCTTAAGACTCCTTGCCGGTAAGCAAACCGGTACTATATGCTGCTTAAATGCGACGACCCTCGACAGCTTAACCAGTGCCACGTCATTGCGAAAATCCGTCGGCGAATACTGCGGATGGACCTAAGTTACGAACATTGACAGTAGATTGTCGGCAAGTGTTGCTAATGATGTTTGCTTGGAATTAGAAATAATGATTATAATTCGCGGTGAAATTTGATAACGCTTTCTTAGCTTGGAGCTGTAATTATTGCGAGAAAATGCTAAAACTGAATAAAGGGACGTTATTTCATTTCACGCAGGGGTTGTAATTCTACTTCTTTAACGTAATAATTACATTGAAAATTGCCAATATAATAGATAGAAGATATACGGAATAATTAATCTTAGGTAAATTATAATAAGCATGAAAAACGGAATATCATTGTTTTAATAGCATTCACATGGCACTCGTAATCGTTAAGAGGAAATATTACTCTTAGTATAATGATATAATGTAGAAAGAAAATTCTCGGAAGTTTAATGTAGTTTTTTTTTTCTCCTTTTTTTTTTCTTCTATCACTTAAGCGTGCATTAATCGAACGTTACTTTAGAAAATTTAATTTGAAAATATAATTAAAAAATACGTCAAAGTATTAAAATGAAAAATATAATAGCCAATCAATTCCATCGCCCCCTTTACAAAATTATTAATGAAATAATTTATAATGTGTATGAGATTTATATTATAATGATGTATATATTTAGGGAAAAATAATTTTGATTTAATGAAATTAAGGAAATTCTTTATAAACGTTTTCAGTTACTAATTACGCTTTATCAAGCGTCTTTTCCATTCCAATCATTGGGACTAACAATCGATGAAATATTTCAATATATTGTTACATATAAGCGCTGTAATTTTTTGTGTAAAATTAGTTGAATTTAAGCAAAGTATGGCGAGCGTCAATTAATAAAGGCACTGTAATAAGCGTATAATCAAATAATCGCGGGCTTATATAATTTTAGCAAGAAAATTAATGCAAACATTTTCAATAGTATTCATACGTTTACTAACCTCTTTCCTTTCAATAGCGAATTCCTCGTGCAGCAGTCGCTCAGAAGAATCTCTAACATCCCATTCGCCCAGTCTAACTTTAAGATTATTGTTCGGTGTCCTAAGCAAGAACAAAAACCAGGGTCTTTTTCATTAATTTATCGAAATCATTTATCGATAAATTCTTCGATCGATATTTGTTTATGGAAAAAGAAAAAAAAAAGAAAAAAAAAGAAGAAAAAAAAAACAAGCCAAATACATTAAGGAGATGCAATCATTTCTCATATAAAAACTTAAATACGTTGAGCAAACAACTAGAAGAAAATATACAACGATTCCACGATAAGGGCTTCCAATTACTCACGTATACAAAATGAGAATCTATTTAATCGGAGATGCATTACGACCTTACGACGTTACGAAGTGCTCCCATAGATAATAGTGGATAATAGCTTCATTTAAGTACCTCTCGCACGATAATTAATAATGAAGATTGAGAGAATGTGGGAATTAATTTTGTGACAACCTAATTTTCAGCACGGTAAATCAACAAACTCAGACGGATAATTAATAAAGGATAATTTATGGCCAGCATAGATTTTTAGGGATCTTTATCTGGAGCTCTTGGATCGTTCTTAGAACTGTTTCAGTTCTTTACCGTATCAGTGTCGATATGGATGAGAGGGAAAAAGTTTATCATTTTCCAGCATTCGCAATTCAATTAAATTTTTATCGCAAGAATTTCTAAATTGCTTTTATCCACGTTTTTTCATAATATTCTTTCGAATATTCATAATGACGTTATGCTAAATTACAGGCAATTTGCTTTAATAATACAAAGACTTTCTCTTCATAGCATTTTCTCTGCCATTCACAAAGCATCAAACGCCAACAACAAATTGATAAATAAAGATAAAAGAAGGAGTTCGTTACTTGGCCTGCAATGTTAAATAGAGAGTCCAGCAGAAACTTGAAGAAATTAAATCCGTTAATTATAATACAACGGATATACCGTTTATTCAAAGGCAAATATCGTAAGATCAATCGTTTTTCTTTGATAAAAGTGACCGTAACGCTCACTGACCCAAAGCTTTCCAATGGCCGAATACATCAAAATGTCAATTAAAATAGCCCATTGCTTAAGCAAAACGAACAAAGCGCCACCATCCCAACGAACAAAAGACTTAATTCGCCAACAT